CTCTTTTAAGTTTGCCTTTAGATCACTATACGAACCTTAAAACGAGTGGCAACTACGCTTTCCAGATTTTAAAACGTTTTTCTAATGCGCAACTGGCCGAACAAGGAAAAGTTAGGAACGGATCGAGAAGAGATGGAAGTCGTGAAGATATAGACCACGGTGATGTGAAGTCCAGCTACGCAAAGCACAAAGAGTAAACGTCACCACCACACTTCTGTTGATTCACAGCACGTTTCCCTTACCACACGCATTTCTTAGCAAACCGCAACGGCTCATTTGAGCCCTAACACTTGCGCACCAAGCACGCTTTCCACAATTCTTCAGAAGCTCACCCATCACTTCACAACACTGTATTCCTTGCGATTCTTAAAATACTTATCAAAGAAACTGCATCAATGCTACTCAACTTTTTCACGATACGTCACAGGAAATATTCGAAATATTATGAATTTATCTATTTAAATTCTTTCACAACCCCACTTGCACAAATATTAATTCAGCTATTCGAATTTGCTCTGGATAGCCTATTGACACGTCAACATGTATTTTGTTCCAGAAACTACGAACACTTAAAAAAAAAGAATATAACCACAGTAGACTTGGAGGATAATCACAAATACTCCTAACTTCTCCAACAACCGACAACAAAATGAGCGGAAGCCGTTGGGCGGGTTCGAATGCTGCTACAGAACAGGAGCGGTGCAGGGATTGGCTACCGCTTTTCGGGGAGTGACAGCAGGGGCGGTTACCAAGATAATAAAAATAAAATTGTGCATTTTATCGGTTATTTATTAGTTTGGATTGATTGAAAAGAAGTATAAATACTTTAATATTACTAAACAGGTTGTATCGCCTATTTATTCATTTAATATATTTCTGAATCTATTCGCCCTTGAAAAACATTTGCAGGGAAGTGTTATCTCCTACTTACTAGTGCAAAGAAACTAACTATTAGGGACTAGCTGTAGTAACGAGATAGTAATTTTTCTGCAAAATGAAATTCATTGGTGTTAAAAATAGAAACAGACTTACTCGTACTATTTACTTCGCTTATTATTTTGAAGTCGAACTACCTTGTCGATTTTGCCTCATTTCCTTGTTTGCACATCAATCTTTGCCATTGTCTGCGTCGAACGAGCCTATAGGGTTTCCCGCGTGAACATAACTGCCAATCCCATTTTCGTTACAACCCAGTAACGAATTCTTGAATCTTCCAGAACCGGCACGCCCCCGTAGTCTTTGGGCACATTTCTGTTCTTATCATTGCACATCGCGGGTTACTCTACTGGCGTTATATACTCTCTGCACCCATTACTTCACAACACTTATTCCAGCGATTCGTAAAATCACTTATCAAAGAACTGCAAAAATGCTACTCAATCTGTTCACGCGATACTTCACAAAAACAATTTAAGATATGAGTTTTCTATTTAAATTTCTTTCACCTTTTTCATTAAATCACTTTGCGCAAAGTATGTAATCGGCTTCGAATTGCTCTGGATAGAACCTATTTAGCCCGTCGCTATTTAGCGAAACTTCGGGAACAATATTAAAACAATTTAAAATGCTTTACAGAAATTATATGTCAGTGTTAATGACGAATACAACATGTAGAAATGTCGGGCTGAATAGAACCAGTTCTCCACAATAATTGAAATATAGAAGACTAATTTCACTCATAATATTTAAGATTAAATATCTGCAAGGATTTCGCTACACAAAATACAACCTTTTGCGCCTTCGACCTTTTTACCCACCGGTGTTTCCTTCACGGGCAACTCACGACCTCGCACATTTATGCGTACCGAGAGCGTTCTGAGTTGAGACATTACCCGTGCCTCCTGGGCCGATAGAAGCGTGATCAGCGAAACACGGGATGCACGCCACATGAACCAGTACGTAGAAAAGTTGCTGCGCTACGCTGGGCGCGAAACACCACAGTTCCAGCCACATATGCTTTGCCAGGCCTGAGACACGAAGGAGCAATGGCTCCGGCCTCCAGGCAGCTGAATGAAGCAAACAAAAAGACGCTCTGCCAAACAAATACAAATTCCAATATTAGAGTGTTAGTACAACAATTAAAGACAGAGGCCCTTTCCCCAAAACGTGGGAATGTATCACAAGTCTGGAACAAAATACGAAATTAATCACAGGCGAACGTTTGCGAATTCCCCTTTAAAGGAGAAAGTAAATAAAGTTAGTGCAATAACCTAAAAATCGGTCTTTTATTTACAATAAAATCTTCTCATTTAATTATCAGGTACACATTTAATATTAACGTGGCAGTGAGCCACGGCGAGAACAAAAAAAATTACAAATCTAGTGGAGCTTTTAAGAAATAGTACATTTCTATCAATTTAACGTAGTTTTAAGATTACGGGCCTGTAATGCTAAGACCGCGTTGAGTGAAGTTTTTTCGCTCGTATTTATAGAAATATCACAAGCAAGCATCCTTCCGAAGTAGTATAATTGCTGTAGCGGATTATTTCCACAGCCCATGCCCTCTGTGGGCACTGAGTGAATTACAGAATGATAAATGAGTAATACGAAACATCAATATTGACAGCAACAACCCTTCTCTCTAGATGCCAATGGCCGTACTAGACCCACAGAACCATCACAGAGAAAAATATTCAATCTTTATGCCAAACAGGCAAATAGACAATGTTGCAAATCAAATCCCGGTTGCACAATGATTCAGGAGTGATTATTAATTAGTTTTAACAAGCTAGAAATTACACAGAGCTTGTATTTTGATTACAATAAATAATTCAATAGGTGTTATATTAGTTTAATATAATTACGCCTAAAAGTCAAAAGAAAATATAAAGAACAACTTGAAAATTAAACAGATGGCGCAGTACAATCCATTTTTTTTCCTTTTTTAGCATAGATGATGACATGTTCGATACAAGTAAAGAAAATACGGATGGTACAACTATTTTAGGACGAAATATAAAATTTATGAACCACCAACAGAGTTTTTTCATGCTGAAATATGACAATGATAGTTATTGTTTGAAGACCGGAAATACATAGAGAAAAAAAATCGTTAAGTACTTCTATATACAAGGAGGTGGGCACGTGGTCTCTAAAACCTTCGGATACGTCACTGACATCTACTGTCCGCGACATTATTTTGGCGATCAGAATAGAACTAGTGGTGATACAGAATGGCATAGACTTTCTCATATTAGTTTTCTATTTCCTTTGGTCACACTTACATATTCTGACATGCCACACACTCATGCCAGCTGCCACCTATCGCCAGCTGTCATTCTTTTTACATTTTCTTACTTTTTGGTTTATTAATAGTAGAACGGAATTATAAAAAATTATAAAAACATTAAAAACTCGACCTAAATGGCAATTTGTTTGTGAGTTTTAAAGGAAATATTATTTAAGCGCTACTAAAATTTTTAAATTTAAAGCCCATTTTTACAGACAATTTTTATGTTTTTGAAAATCTTCATTAGAAGTCATTTGAAGCACATCTACTCACAAATACAATATTGTTTTACAATTTGCGGGAAATGTGCATATTGACGCCGTGAGAGACCTTTCAAAATAGCATCTTTGTGTAATCTTTGTCTACATTTGTGTAATTTTTTTAAAACAGAAGGAATACAGCAAAATGGATTGTATAACATCAAGAAGAGTTTAATTTGCACTATCCATACGAAAATTTGAATAAAAAATTATGAGCGTTTTTCAGAAAATGGCACTTGAGCGTTTCTAAAAATGCGGAATTTTGACCTAGCTTTTACAGAATACGGTTTCAATGCAAGGTACTTACAATACACATTTCTCATACGCATAAGGCAAAGAATGACTTTTTCATAAAATACATGAATTTTAAATCACGTCTATGTTCCTAGAATTGATTTTTGTTGCATAGTTTCTGAAATATGCGAGTTTCTTTTTTGTCTTAAAAAAATGATGGTTCAAAATCGCAGTTAAAAAATTGCATTTTCCAGCAGGTTTTTATTAAAAGGGAAGCAAATATGTTATTTTGACAAATGTATATTGAAATATCATTTAAAAATATACAATTTAGGAAATACTATAACCGGCAACACCGAGTTAAAAAGAGGGTTTGTCTCTGGGTAGGCAGATGATCGCACTGCTAATGAACTACACCTAATTTTAAGAATTCCAGCAAAACAAGAACAAGGATTTTTGAAAAATGTTATTACGACAATTGTAAACTGAAATATCTTTTATAGAATATAACATTTAGTGAATAGTATAAGCGATAATGCGTCGTTTAGAAGAGGCTTGTTGCTGGGTAGACATATATTAGCGCTGCCTCACGTACATCTAATTTTAAGAAATCCAGCAAAACAAGGAAAAGGATTGTTTGAAAAATGTTATTTCGACAATTGTATATTGAAATATTATTTAAAAAATATTTCATTTAGGTAATATTTTAAGCGATAATGCCTCGTAAAGAAAAGGCTCGTCTCTGGGTAGGCAACTCTTCACACTGCCTCGCTTACATCTAATTTTATCAAATCCAACAAAAGAAAAAGGATTTTAAAAAAGTCATTACGACAATTATATTTTTCAAATGATATTTATATTTACAACATTCAGTAAATTGTTTAAGCGATAATGCGTAGTTAAGAAGAAGCTCGTGTCTGCGTTGGCAGATGTTTACGCTGCCTCACATATATCTAATTTTAAGAAATCCAGCAAAACAAGAAAAAGGAGGTTTAAAAATGTTATTACAAGTGTAAATTGAAGTATAATTTAATGAAAAACACATTTAGTGAAAAGTATAAGCGATAAAACCTCGTTAAGAAGATACTTGTCTTTGGAAAGGCAGATCTTCGCGTGGCCAGGCTTACAACAAATTTTAATAAAACTAGGAATACAAGATAAGGTTTTTTTTAAATATTACTACAATTGTACATTGAAATAACAATTGAAGTATATAACATTTAGTGAACAGTTTTTTTGATAATGCCTCGTTAAGATGAGGTTCGTCTCTGGGTAAGCAGATCTTAGCGCTGTCTCGCTTACATCTATTTTTAAGAAATCAACCAAAACGACAAAAAGGATTGTAAAAACCGGTATGTAAGTAGAACAAGGTACAAAAAATTAAAGGAGTAAACCAGCCTCCCGTAGAAAAATTAGTATCGGAAATACATGTCAATAACGGTTTCGGCTACCACTAAAAGTTCCCAATACCCGCCTCATTACGTGAAAATACAATTTTTAGAACGTTGAGAATTCGAAATACAGGAGTGTCAGTTCAAGGATCTTGGAGGGAAATTTTCATATCCGTATATGACAAACGATGATATTTTCATAAAATACATGAATTTTGAAATACGTGTGTATCAAGAATTTTTTTGCATAGTTATATGCAAGTGGTATATGATATATTAGGGTTTGTTTTTTGAGTTAAAAACTGAAGGTTCAAATTCGCAGTTAAAAATATAGCATTTTCAAGCTGGTTATTATTCAAAGAAAAGCATATTTTATGACTTAATCAAAAGAGTATAGTACAAACGATAATATTTATATAAAATACATGAATTTTGAAACACGTGAGTGTTTCCAGAATTGATTTTTGTTGCATAGTTTGTGAAATATGCGAGTTTTTTTTTTTTGTTAAAAAGAGGAAGGTTCAAAATCGCAGTTACAAATATTGCATCTTTAAGCTAGTTATTATCAAAAGAGAAGCATCATTTAAAACTCCCATTAAATAGAAAACATACAAACTCATGTGCGAATTTCAGCCCTGTAGCTTGAGTAGTTAAGGAGATAGAGCCATTTGAAATTGACTATTATTTTACTAGAGGGAACAGTTCTCATTCGTTTATGACAAATGACGGCATTTTCTAAAACTATAAGAAATTAGAAACACGTCCGGGTCTCTAGAATTGAGATATGATACATAGTTTGTAAAATTTGCTGGTTTAATTTATGTGTAAAAAAAATTTAAAAAATCGTCAATCGACGAAATTTTCCGATTTTCGACATGTCACTGATTTTTCTGAAAACACGGATCTAGCACGAAATTTTATGGGAAATTCACTGGTAATACCCATTTTTCAGTTAAAGGCTTAGTTTTTATAAAATCGCAAACGTATCGCCATAAACTAAGACGTAATCGATCTGGGCAAAAAGGCAGTTTTTATTATAAAATCAGTCTAAACAGAAAATGATACTGAAGATAACAATGTCTTTAAACACAATTAAACCTGTCTTAAACGGAATCGACCTGGACAGAAAGGAAGTTTTTTAAAAGTTTTAGTGTGAGCAGAAAACGATCAAGAAGAAAACAAAGTCTTTAAACACAGTAAAGTTTGTCTAAGACTAAATCGATGAGAACAGAAAAAGTTTTTAAAAAGTGAAATCAGGCTGAGCAGAAATCTATCTAGAAAAAAACAATGTCTTCCCAAATAATGTCTAAATAATAGTCAAATTCAAATGGCTCTATCTCGTAAACTATTCAAGCTACAGCGCTATTATTCGCACACGAGTTTGTATGTACTTTATGGTTAATTTGAGTTTTAAATGAAGTTTCTCCTTTAATCAAAATTTGCTTGAAATGGAAAATATCTACACTGCTTTTCGGAAGAAATTTACGTTTATGGCGATACTTTTCGATTTTCTAAACAACTAAGCTTGTAATCGAAAAATGCGTAACCCCAGTGTATTAGCCATAAAAATTGGTGCTAGGTCCATGGTTTTCAGAAAAATCCGTGAGATATCTAAACTGGACAATGTTGTCGATCGACGAAACTTTACATTTTTAACACAAACATAAAACCAGCATATTTCACAAACTATTTCACATAAATTTATTCTAAAGACACGGATCTGTTTCTAAAGTCTTGTAGTTATAGAAAATATCGTCATTTGTTATATACGGATGAGTTAAGTAGCCTCTAGGAAATTTATATTGAAAGGCTTGTATTTTCGCAGCTTGCAAGCTCGAAAATTAGAGTCAATTTAAACGCCTCAATGTCCAAAACTATTGTAGCTACAGGGCTGAAATTCTCACGTGAGATTGTATGAAATTTAGTAAATAAAATAGTCAAAATGGTCAAAATCATCAAAGTGGTCAAAGTGGTCAAAATGATCAAAATGATCAAAATGATCAAAATGGGAAAAATGCTCCGGATAGTCAAATCGAATTATTTAAAGTATCACTTACTTGCTCGACTCGCTGCGTCGATCTTCCCCCCCCCACATGATCGACTCGCTGCGTCGATCCCCCCCACATGATCGACTCGCTGCGTCGATCCCCCCCCCACATGATCGACTCGCTGCGTCGATCCCCCCCCACATGATCGACTCGCTGGTCGATCCCCCCCCCACATGATCGACTCGCTGCGTCGATCCCCCCCCCACATGATCGACTCGCTGCGTCGATCCCCCAGCCCCCCACATGATCGACTCCGCTGCCCTCGAGGGTTCCCCCCCCATCCACCACATTGATCGACTCGCTTGCGTCGATCCCCCCCACATGATTGGACTCGCTGCAGTCTGATCCCCCCCACATGATCGACTCGCTGCGTCGATCCCCCCAAATGTATCGACTCGCTGCGTCCGATCCCCCCACCATGCATCGACTTGCTGCGTCGATCCCCCACAATGATCACTCGCTGCGTCGATCCCCCACAGATCGATCGTGCGACCCCACATTCGCTCCAGTCGGTCGATCCCCCCACATGATCGACTCGCAGCGCGTCCCCCATGTGACTAGCTGGCTCCCCAGTGATGGGTGATCCCACTACGCTGGGGTCGATCCCCCACTTTGATCGACTAGCTGGGTCGATCCCCACTTGATGACTAGCTGGTCGATCCCCACTTGATCGACTAGCTGGGTCGATCCCCCACTTGATCGACTAGCTGGGTCGATCCCCCACTTGATCGAACCTGTTGTGAAAAACTTTGGAAAAATGGGGAAAAATT